GAACACTGAGTGCATCGTGCGGGCTCTTGCACGTGGTGGCACACACCTATAAGCCCAGCGCTGGGAAGCCTGAGACAGGAGAATCACTATGAGTCCAATCTGCCTAGTGAGATACCTGCATCATAAAATAAAAAATTTTAAAATATAAATACAGTGAGTTATTATTATTACAGTAAATGATATATTTCCATTAATGCCCTCAAAATGCTCCTCCTCACAGCGAACACACTTACTCTGTCATTCTTGCCACTTTCTTTAGAAAAGATAAAGATTGATGAAGCTTTTTAATAATATATTTTATTTAACTCAGTATACCCAAGATATTATTTCAATGTAATGTCTATATAAAAATTACTTACAACATGCCTTAAATTCTCTTCACATTAAATTTTTGGAACCCGCTATGTGTTACTACACTGATAGGACATCCGTCTCAATTCAGCCCAGTCACGTTTCAAGTGCTCAGTAGCCATAATTAGCTAATAGCTACCAAATTGGATGGCACAGAATTTGATTCTCACCTCAGAGAAAATAACGATTTCTTAAAAATAACGTTTGCATATTTGTATTTTTATTGTTCTCCAACAAACGTGTGCTTGTATTGCATATTTTTAAAATTTTATTGTATTTTGTGATGCTGAAGACAAAGCCTGGAGTCTCGACATGATAGGCAAGCACTGAACTCCATCCCCAGCCCTACATATCTTGTTATTTTGAGTTGTCTTCAACGTATCTTCATATTCCTGCTCAACTGAGAGTCATTTTTAAAGACACAGGTCTCATCAGCAGAACATGTCTCCCCACGCCCAGTCCCCACCTTTCCCACTGTCTCAGGACACTGTCCCTGTTCTCTGCCTCCTGCCTACTTCTCCCTCCCACCTCACTGACTGGGAGCACCACGCAGCGAGTCTGTGTCCACAGCCCCACTGCACACACACTAAAATCACACACAATCTCTACTCCTGCTTTTGGACAATGAAGGGCATTGATGGTAACTTGCACCCTTCACCTTCAAATTATAAAAAATTCTTTTGCTTTCGGTGCAAGTTATTTTTAAGTGGGCTTGTTAGTTACTTCTACTGACAATATATCCCCCAAAAAACCTAGATACATGAACTGCTTAGGGTTTTTTCCCCCAAATAAATTGGCCAAAAACAAACAGAAGCATCTAACTTTTAAATAAAAAAATACCCTTTCCACCTCAAAGATTTTGGTCAAAATTAAGGTTTTGGGTCTTTGATGAAGTCTCATTCCTAGGAAATGTGAATGTGAGGTAGACGCAGCTTAAGAAATTCAGCAGCTTTGTAATAGGAAACTATGGCCCGGTCCCTTACTTTAAACACATATAGGTTCTTAAATTCATGGTATAGCTTGGTTTCTCATTGTTCAAAATATCTGCCAGTCTAATAGCAACAAAGATGCTCTTGCTCTGCCCCTACCCCAAGGATTTGAAAGGTAGCATGTGGATGGACTGGGGAGATAGCTCGGCAGTTGAAGCATCTGCCTAGCTGGTGCAAAGACCCAGATTTGATTCCCGGTACTGCATGCCTGCTGACCCCAGGACCCTGGGCACACCCTGCCATCCACCAAAACCAGGAGAGGTGGTACATGCCTGTAATCCCAGTGCTGGGGACTTTGAGACAGGAGGATCACTATGAGGCTGAGCTGCATAGCGAGACCCTGTACCAAATAAATGAATCAATGATTTTTAAAATGATTTTAAAAAAGAAAGATAGCATGTGGAACTTCACACATTGGGGTATTATAGGACCTGGACTTGGATACTCACTGCCAGTCACTAGTCAGATCTATGACCTTGGTGTGTACTGGTCCTGCTCAACTCAGCCTCCCCTGTCAAAAGGAGGGCCCGCAGCAAACTTGCTCAAGATGCCTCCTGCTCTGGCACTCCTGAGTCTTGGGCCATCTTCCTCTATTGCATTATCCCCAGATTATTTGCTTCCTCGTGCATCTCCTCCTTCCTAAAAGACAAGATGGCTGGCAGCATGGCAGTGAAAAGGGTAAGGAAAAAAATAAATCTAAAATGAGTCACCTTTCAAGAATATGCCATTCCCTGGTTCCTGGGTACTTACTCACCATGCCAAATCAGCCCTTCTGATGCAGCTTTCTGTTTGCACAGTGTTTGTTAGACGCACTTTTCCTGGCAGATGCTTACACTCTACACCATCTCTTTTAAGAGCTCCTTGTGAATACAAAACAGTGTCTAAGTTGTGCAGCCACACAGTCAACTTCAGCTGAGCCTAAAGAAACTCAGATCAACACCATAGCGTTTCAGTGTGGTTCTGAAGGCTTGACAAGTTAGGGAACATAATAGCAGCTCTCCAAACTTCCCACTCACCTCCTAGGATTCTGCCCAACGCTGAATTTTAACTAGCTACAGGATTCACTCCCTTCCTTATGCCCGAGAGACTTTCCTCCAAGGCTGAAGTCAGGGGCCGGCCGCTGTTGCTGTGTGCTGCGCTGCTTCCGCCTGGCCTGATTTTTCATGCTGCCATTTTGAATTAACATTAGGTTTCGGCTGCAAGTGATGCGTCTTCTAGTCAGGCATGGAGCACAGCGCACACACACACACACACCACCACCACCACCACCACCACCACCACCACCACCACCACCACTCCAAGAAGTCAGACACAAGCATAGATTAAGGTACACGCAAAGTACAATTAGACACGCAAGCCATACTACTTAACAGTACTCTATCGGGTCAGCTTTGAGTCACTAAAAAAGGATAGTTTCCTTAGATGCAAAAGTGTGCAAAGGACATTTTTACTCCAAAATCCTGAGTCTCACCAATTCTCTAAAATCCAAGGGTCCCTCCTGCTTCCAACACCTCGTAGGTTACATCGCCAAATAATTGGTCCCCGGGGGTGAAAAAAAAAAAAAGGAAACCGAGGCGGCACAGGTAAACCGAAACAGACATCTCGGAAAGATGAGGGTGTTTTTTTAAATAAGTGCCCCGACCTCCCCAACCCACCCAGGATGCCCAGGTGCCGCCTGGGCAGAAGTTGTGTCAAGTCCGGAGCGCGGCTGGCGCGGACTGCTGCAGCAGAGCGAGGCGGCCCTACAGGGACCGAGACCTCGGGCCAGGTCCGCGGGCCGGGGCCGGGGCCGGGCCGCGGAGGGCCGGACGGGCTCGGGGCCGCGGCTGCAGGCGCCATGTTCGCCGAGCTCGCCCCGGCCGCAGGTGCGCCTCAGGGAGGGGGCTGCAGGGTGGGGGGTCTTGCGGGCACCGGCGACCGCAACTTGGCCGCAACGGGAAGAGAAAACACGGGAAGGCAGCAGAGGGCGGAGGGGGCTCTAGGAGTTAAGGGGGCGCGGGGGTCAGGTTGGGGTGCAGGAGGGGGCAGGCGCCTGCGCCCCGCGGCAGGGTAGCCCTCCTGCAGCCCCGCAGCCTCGGATCCTGCGTCACCCCATCCCAGCGGAGACGAGTTCCGTGCGGAGGATCCGCAGATCCCCAGCTGGCTGGAGCCAGCACCCTGGGTGGGCTCTGCGGGGCGGCGATGGCGGACCCAGCGGAAACCCGCCCCGGGAAGCGGCGCTGCGGGCTCCCTGCCGTCCAGGGTGCTGCTCACCTGCGGGCGGCGGGCTTTGGGATCCGCCCTGAGGTGCAGAGGCAGCGGCAACCGAGGTGCGGGCGCGGGCGGGCTACTGCGGCGACATCGGGGTCTGCGGCTGCAGCTGCGAAGGCGGCGTCGGGCGCGTCCCGCTTCCCAGACTCGCAAGCTCTGGGTCCCCACCGCCCCCGCCAACAGCTGGTCGGGTCACGTGATGGCGGCCCGCCCTCCCTTCGCGTCCCCTCTAGTCCCCTCCCGTCCGTCCGCTCCACTCCCTGCGCCCTGGTCCCTGGTCTCGCCTCTGGCGGGCTGGGCGGCAAAGCTGCGCTCCGCCTGCTGGGGGGCCAGCCCCGGGAGTGACTTCATCGAGAATTGGCTCTTCACATGATTTTGATCTCTTGTGTGCAGCTCTTCCAAAAGAGGGACCTAAGCTTTAAGGAGCGAGGCCCAGCCTCCTCCGGGCGCCTCTCCCCGCCATTTGGTCGCTGTTGGGCCTTGGCAGCTATGCAAGATTTCCCAGCAGAGAACTGTCCTGTGCCTTGTGCCCCAATGGACTCCCTGATTTTAGAGGACGTATCAATAGACTAGACCTTTGCACTTTGTGGCCAGGAGATTTTAAGGAACACACCCAAGGTCACATAGCAAGTAGCAAAGACAGGATTCCATGCCAAGGTTAGTAAGTGTATACTGGGGTGCTGGGGTGTGTGTGTGTGTGTGTGTGTGTGTGTGTGTGTGTTGATGCTGGCTTCAAGGTTACTGATCAAGACATGATAGTCTGTTACCAAAGCACAGATTCCACCTTTTATAAATTAATAAGAAAAGATATGAAAAAATGCTCAAAGTCACCTGCAAATCAAATATGCATGGTAGTATTTCTATGTCAGATTAGCAAAAATCAAAGTTTTATAACC